GGAACTAACAGTGTCCTGCTTTCTAGCCTGGACCCTTAACCACTAGACTAAACTGGCTCTTATTGGCAACTTCCTTTTTCAGGGTATAGAGAAAGATACAAGAAAATTATCTATTCTTACTTGATCCTAATCAGCAGGAAAGATTTAGTTGAGGAATACTAGCAGGTACATTGGGGGAAAGGGACCGTGTGTGATGCTGGAGTTCTTGATTTTAAGAGACACTAAATTTGAGCACAAACATTTAGTACAAATTTCCCCCAAAAGAAAATTTTTAACCTAATCAGAGCAATGATAAGCAAGATCTCAGGACAGGAGAAGTTAATAAGGAAAGGAGTTCAATTTGGGTAGAAGTCTATAAAAAAGGAGAAACTAAAAGTACAATTGCAAACAATTCCAATGAGAAAAAAAATTCAACCAATCAGGATATCTAACAAGTTCAATGAAGGTTTAAACGGACAAAATAAAACAAAGGGACATAGAGGAAACAGAAAGACAGGTTCATAAAGGAAGAGTACAGACAAATAGTCTTGAACTGTTTGGCTGGTGTCATGACAGTGAAAGCTCAGAATGAACTGATACCAGCAAAAGATGTTAAGAATAACCAAAAACAAAAAATCTTTTGAAATGTTCAAAATAAAATCAAAATAATTTTATTAGTATACCAACTGGGCAATGAAGATGCTATATAACAAAGAAGAGCTCCTCATTTTCTGTTTTGGTTCCCGTTCTCTAACAAAAAAGTATCATGTTCCACTGGGAAATCATGAAGGCAAGAATGAAGAGGCAGAATTTAAGGTTTACACTTACTGAAACATATTTTTAATGAGTTTAAATTTCTAAAGTTAGAAAGTGTAGGGAAAACCTATCCAATTTGCAGATGACACAAAACTGGTTAGGACAGCTAACTTCAAAAAGATAAAAATAAAATAAAATTCAAAACAGTGATAGGTTCTAGAAATAGGCTGAAAGTATTTCCCAAAGGCAAGTGTGAAGTACTTCACTATCAGAACAAGAATCAACTGCATGAGCATAGGATGGTAATGAAACCTGTGAAACGAACTTGGAAATAATAGTTGAATATGAACTAGCAAAGTGATATGGCAGTAAAAAAAAAAAAAAAAAGAAAA